AGCATGAATACTGACTTCTAAGGAAACTTTCCTGCAGGAATAGGCTGCAAAAAGCAGGAGGGCTGCACCCAAAGCAACCCTGCCCAGCCTCCCACGCTGCCATGCACAGCTACTGTCTCAGCAGGGAAACCCACTGATACCCAATTTGCTCCCCAAAATGAGCAGCCTGTTGTGCTCCATGAAAAGGCAATTCTAGCATCACTGCAGCAGCAGCATGTTCTGTTCCCTGCCACAGCAGTGGGGGGGTGGAAGGAGCTCAGATCAATGGCAACTCCAGAAATAAACCTGAGAGAAAATGGGGTGACAAGAGGAAGGTCATCAAAAGCTGAGCTGTAGGAATGACATCTCAGCACTCAAGACCTCCGAAACGTGGAATGGCTTACTGGGACATTTGGAGATGTTTAAAAGCAGCATAGGATGAAAGTCACAACTGATGGGGGTTCAGAGCAGCTTCCAAAAACATAGTACAACAAGGCAGAAAACATGGGGGTCCCACTCCATGCCCATGCAGGGCACAGCCACACAAACATGGCAGCCTCTTCTCTCTGGGAAGGTGGCTGCCAGAGACATCACTCACTCTGACATGCCTATATTCCCATTTGGAAGCAACAACACCTTTGTAAAATTTATAAAGGGGTTACCAACAAATGGCTTTTCCATCCAGTAAAAGACTATGCTTGGCCAGCCCAGAAGCTATGTTCAAGCCTGCAATTTGACAAGAGTGCTCGAAAAAAAACCCTGCCGAGAGGATAAATCAGTGGCAAAGCAAGCCAGCAGTCATTAAAGAGCTATAGATCTGGGTAAATCAAGGGACATACTGTACTGATCTTGACTTTCATCCAGCACCTGGGTACAGCATGGATTGCTGGAAACCCACACAAAGGTCCAGCCCACCTGGCTGGTCTGGCAGCATGTGGTGGCAGCCAGAGCAGGGAATGGGCAGGGTGCAGGAAGGGGCTCAAACTACAAACTCCCTCTCCCCATTAGAAATAACCAAGGGAGAGCAGAAAGGCAAAACTAACTGCAGGTTATGCAGCAGGAACAACCAGGCTGGGGAGCTGTTTTACACACACAAGCTCTCAGAGCCATCTTTATATATCTTTATTGCACACATCTATCCTTACATATCTCATGGGATGAGGCCAACTTCCCTTCCCAGGACAAACTATTTCTGCTTAATTCTGCCAAATCCATCTGTTCCCAAGACAACCTTTGTTACTGCCTAACACAGATATTTTGGAAGGGTAAATCTTCCCCTTGTCCTCCCCCCCTCCCCCCTGCTTGCTGGATCGATCAGAACATTCCCCGGGTGATGCTCCAGCCACTAAAAGGGATTTTTTCTTCCTGTCAAAGCTTGTGAGATGCCCAGGAGCAAAGCATCCCAGGTAAGCCGGACCACACAACCTTTGCAAAGCCCTGGATAAGCCTGCACCTTCTCTCCCCCAGCGCCTGCTAAAGCTACCCGCCAGGCGCAGAAGCCTCCCCAGCACCCATGTTTTATTTTCAGGCTTCCTGGCAACCAGCTCGAGTGAGAATGCTGGAGGTGAGCTAGTTTGTGGGTGGCTGTCTGGAGCGGCAGCAAAGCACCAGCCACCCCAGGCTCTGTTTGCTTTGGGTGCCCGATGCAGGAAGATTGATCCCAGCAGAGTGCGAGCACGTGTTTGCATGGTGAAGCCTGGAAGACATTTGCACTGACTTGTAATTTGAGGGAAAATACTATAATTTATTTGCAGGCATGATTTGCCATTGGTGTGGCATAAATATATGTGTGTGTACGTACACAGCTCTATTTTTAGAGCTGCACGACCAGGGTGCCGGCTCCACGGTTACTCCATTGACAACAGGATACGCTCTTCTCTGAGCTGGGAGGTTTTCAGTCCTCCCCCTTATTGTAAACATTATCTGCCTTCAGAATCCTTAATGTGTTGCAGATGTGACAAACAATAAAAGACCTATCATAAAAAAAAGCCTGCCATCTCTGTGTTTCCCACTGGGGCAACATAATAATGAATTTATTAGCATATAGGGCTCACCAACATATGTTTATAGTCACTCACAAACTTTTGACTTGACAGTTTACAAGTATGTTTAAATCATTAAAGTTTAAGTTGACTGTCCAGTTATTACAGGCTCATTATAAATAGGAAACAAAGGTTACATTTTATACAACAGGTGATAAATCAATACTAGTCTGTATTCTAGACTGACTTTTTTTTTTCTTTTGCTCTTTTTTCATCCACATTTTCAAGACCTTCTTGAGGTGACATCTCAGCGAGGCCAGTACTGAGCAGCTGTTTGCAGTTAAGCCGGCAGGACGAGCGGCACCCACCCTGGGGAGCAGGAGAAACTCCCGTTGCATCCAAGAGATGCAAAGACCTCGGAAGTGGCAAACTCTGCCAGCATATTCACTCAACCAATGGCCAAACTCAGTGCCAGCCCAAGACACCTACCTCTCCTCCTCCCCAAGTCCATCTGCAAGGCTTAGAAACCCTTCATAAGGGAGAAGATCTCTGCTGCCACCACAGGGCCAACGAAACTTCCTCCTAAGCTGAACAAAGCCTCTAAGAAAAGGAAAGCAAAGCACCCAAACCATGTTCCCCAATTGCAAACCTCCAAGGGTCAGTAGAGGCATTCAAACGCACTCGAAGCGGGTTTTTGGGTTTGATCACTGTGCTACAACACCCCCCCACCCCCCACCCCCCCCGGCCATCCAGCACTGTTCTTGCCTCAACACTGCAGAGCATCCAGCATGGGATAAAACCAGGGAGTCAATAACTCAACCCCAGCCACGCCCAGTCCTTTCTGACTCTGCTATGGGCTAACCATCTTGGGAAGGAGAGAGATAAAGCCACATTAAATGTAAAAGTTCATTTTGTAAACTATTTCCAGATTTCAAAGCCTGGCATAATTTCAAATTGCCCTGCTAACCTAAAATTTAGAATTTGTGGAAAGGGGTGGGGGGAATGTGGAATGGTTTCTGGTCCCTTTTATTTTGTGTTATGTACATGTGATAGGATATGATGGAAAAAAATTAATTGAAAAATACCCTTTCAAAGTAAAAAGAAATATCTTTCTCAAAAATGTTGAAAGTGCGTATTTCCACACTGTCAGCAACTTTTCCTGGGCTTGTTTCCAACATAAAACTTGAACAGAGTCACAGTTTATATCCAATACCAACCAAATAGGATTCTGTCACTGTCAGATCAGCTTCGCCTTTCTGCTCTAAAGTAAAACACAAAAAAAGAACATCATGGCATGGGCAAGGGAGGAAGCATCGGAAAGTCTCCCTGGCTGCCCCAATTGCAGGGCTCGTGTCCTCTGAGGCCAGTTGGCGCCTAAAAGCTGTTCTGGACAAACTTCACGCTCTCAGCAACCTGAAAGACTTAACCTGCCAGGAACACAATGCCCCACAGCCAACGCTGCTTTAAAGTTAATATTTACCCATCCTAGTACAGGCAGCAGCAAACACCCTCCAGCAGAGCAGCACAGGGAGGACAAGTCCTCTTTTCCTATTACATGTTCACATACCGCAGTGACAAGAGAGGTCTAAATTGCTACACAGGCAGGTTGTTGGGGAGATCAATACAGTAACTAAACTAGCCTAGAGAGACAGAAAAAGGCAGAAAGGATTATATATCCAGCTTTAGAGATCACTGATGATATTATGGGGAAGGCCATAAGAGGAAATTAGAAACACATTAAAAATAGCATAAAGGTGTGACACAAAGATCATGGAAAATGAAACACGTATCTCTGCTCTTGACTTAGGACAATGTGAATCACCTGTATTTCTTCAATGTACACTTTGATACTTAGCTCTTGGATGAAATAAAGTAAATTTTCTCCTTCTCTGAATTCTATATTTCTCTTTCAGACTTGGATTGGAGGACTTCAAAAGTCTTTTCTTGCCCTTACCCTATATTTAAATATATGTATTTTATATATTTTACATAATGTGTCAATAACCTTTGATATGAAACTGGCATTTAATATTTCAGCTCTCACTTCATTAAGGATATTTTAATTATCCCAGACCAATGGAAGGGAATTTATAAACATCTGTGCTTCGTTTAAGAGCCCAAATTTGCCTCTTAAACTTCAAAGCTGTAAAGCTGATTTTATCCAGGTTCAGTTGTCTGGTCTCTCGAAGAACACTGCGTCGCACTGAAACCAGCATTAATTGGGCCAGACCTCCAGCCTGCAGACCCATGTCCAGCAGACACCACTCATCCACGACGGACACAGCCTCTAACAGCCCAGTCTCACTCACACAAGCAAAACAGATGATGCTGCTGAGCTCTACAGAGCCAGGAGTAGGGGTCAGGGAGAAGGCACACGCCAGCAGCATTTTCAACTGCCCAAGTCACAACTGGTTCTTTGCTTTCTCCTCCCAATGGCTGACCAGGGGCTACTTTATTAATAATGTAGCCTTGAAGCACTAGGAGTGCCTCATGGCCATTTTCAAAGCAACCAAAGACATGACTGGTACAGTCAAGCAATGCAATTATAGGCTTCTGAGTACCTAAATCACTTCTGCAAAATGAGCCTGAATTATTAGTAAAAAATTACCGTGGGTCTCTAAACCCTAGATCAGAAATAACCATCATTTGCTGCAGTCAAACAATCCTTATTGACTTTCTGCTGTCCTCTAGAAATCAGAAAAGCTCATCTCTAAGCTCATGAGCATAGGCAGCAGCGGGAAGGAGAGAAGAGGATGGCTCTGGGACCTATGGCAGGTTTGCAACCTTTCTTGAACCCCCTCCCAACCGTTGCATTCAACACACCCCTGCAATACCGACCTGGAAAAGCAGCAGCATTACTCCTCCTGCCCCTGCTGGCACTGAGGCCAGTCAGCATGATGCTGTGCATCAACAGCCACAGCATCAGTGGTGCCTGCAGTGAGCAGACCTGAGCAGACCCCAGAGAGCAGCTCCCCACACCATCACCAAGACCTGCAACCCCCCGAGGAGCAGCCACTGCAGGACCACTGTCCCCATCACCTGCTAAGAACCGGAGCTGGTTCCTCACTCGCAGCTCTCCATCCCCAGAGCCTCTGCTACAGTCATCTTCATCATCGCAGTCTCCACTCTCCTCCTCCTCCTCTGCAGTTTTGCCTGGAGCTTTTCGGTGGGGCAAAGCCATCCCTTTGAGCAGCTGAAAGACATGAGGTGCCACAGTCATTCAACAGCTTCCCTCCACCCTCCCTACTGCTTCGTCCTCTGCTCACAGGAAGATTGGGTGACAAGAGGGGAACATGGCTCAGTGGAGCCAGGACAGTGGGACACGTCCCCATTGAACTCCTCATGCCAAAGCACTGACGAGCTGAGGTTCATTCATGGACAAAGCTGCACACAAAAACTCAACAGAAGAAATAAAAGGAGGAGGAAAACCACACTGAGTAACTGCCCTTCGGCTTCTGCCCAACGAGCATCACATGAGCTGCAGCACATCTACCAGCCCTGTGAGACCCCAATGCCACCCAAGCTCTGGAGTTGGCTACAAAACAAGTTTCTAGAGTTAGGCCAGACAGGGCAAAAACCAGTAGTAAGAGGAAAATCTGTTCAGAGATTCTCACTGCTTTCAGCGACTATCTCCCATCTGAGAAGTAACACGTGTGAAATGAAATGGCAGATCTCTTGGGTCCGTATGGTGCCCCACAAAAATAACCTAAAAATCTCATTCCTCATTCTTGAAGTGCAGAGGATTCTAGTCAAAGTTTTTGGGCTAGCCAAGTGACACAATGAAAGGATCTTTTAAATGATATTTTAAAGTCGAGTCCTAACTAACGGTGACAGGTTGCACATCCCCAAGACCAGGACTTGAATACCTCCACTGAGCACCGGGTGAGGACTGCTCTCAAAACACAGGTGGGAGCTCCCCATGTTGCCCCTTCACAGTGCACGGAGGGATTAGACACTTCTTAGGCTATCAGCTTCCTCTTCCCACTGACTTTTCTGATTTTGCTGTTGCTGAAAGCAGCCAGCTATTTCATCATAAACCCAGATCCACTTTGAAAGTGTGAGTCAGCCGGTTAATATATGTTGAAAATTTCTATCACCAACACTCTGCTGTTAAAAGCCTTCTTGAATTTAATCTCAGCACTAAAAAAAAAATTATGAAAAGGATAAGTAACAGAGAAGATATTGCAAAATGGGAGCTTTCTGCATACTTCAGGGGTTTAGTTAGTTCCATCTATTGCAGTAATATGCATTCCTTTCAAGGCATTTTTTAATATCTGAATCTAGGTTATATTTTTTAAACTACTAAGCTAGCCTTAGAAAACAGTTTCTAAAATATTAAGCTGCTGAAGTTTATACAGCCTCGAAGGAATGCTTTCAGCATCTGGCTCGCTCTGTCCACAGCAATGTCCACATACCTTAGTGTTTATATTAGAGGAGCATAAGGTAATGAAAAACAAATGGCTCAATGTGAGACCCCTCTGGGTTCCCCAGCTGCATCAAACAATGCAGCAAACCTCTTCTCAGCACGTGCAAGAGTCCGCCCAGTGTGACAGCTGTGCTGGGTCCCACATCCACGGTAGGAAGCAAAACACAGCTCACCTATGTGTTTCCATGGCCTTCAACAGGCTTTGGCTCAGACTGTTTAAGTTCACTTTTTAGGACTTGGTTTTATTTAGACATTTACAATATGGCATAACCACAAAAACCCAACTAACAAACAAACAAGACAGCACTAGGGGTAGCACAGGAAAGACCTCGCACAGGAACCAAACACATCAACCACTCAAGCCTCTACACCATCACTTGTATTTCTCTCCTCCGAATGAAGGCCACAGCTAACAGTGGTCCTCAGCACAGAGTATATCAGCTCGAGGTGGAATGAAGGTCTCCCACACACAGCAGCTAATTACAACACGCAGCAGTTCAAACCCATTGCCCCGGTGCACCATTGCTAATAAACCAAGCCCACCACGGTGGAAGGGGACCGCGACTGCTCAGTGGTAGGATGCTCGTTCCCCTGCACCCAGGGCATGGACCAAGCCAGCCGGAACCCCACAGCACAGCTCAGTGGCACAACTTTCACTACTTACCCAAAACAGCAGAGGAACTTTCTGGTGGAAAGAATTAAGCTTTGGGATATTTTCAGATTTAATAAGCTCACCGGGAGGCAGGGAAAATAAGGATTTTTCAATTATGTGTTTTCAAACATTAAGATTACTGCGCATTTCTTGTGTTACTACTTTTTTCTTGGCATGCCATAAATTAGCAGCTTAATTTCTCTGCCTTTGTAGCCACAATAAACCAGGAACCTTCTGAGAAACGCCATGCAGGACCTGACTTTGGATTGAGTGAACATGACAACCCTGTTCCACACTGCTCCTTCCTTTTCCAGGACAAAAGCTCCAACCTTGCCCACACGCTCCCCAGCTGCTGAGAACCACAGGGAGGTTCAATGAGTCAAATTTCACAGCTGACTCTGGGAGAAATGAAGCCCATGACACAAAACCTACTGGCACCGTTAGCAGGAGATCTGGCATGGGGTGGAAATCCCACCCCACTCCGTTGGTGCATCGAGATCCGGGAACGCTGTTGGATGCCTCAGCTTTGGCCGAAGCAGCAGCCACAGCCCTGTACATTGACCATTACACAACCTCCCCGACAGTCTGCATGCCTTATGAAATCATATTTGGTGGACTGAACATAGATTCCCCATCCTTAAATAGCAAGTGGAGCTGACTGTACCCTAAAATTACAGTTTATTCATGTCCTGTGGTTTAAAACCTATGGTAAGAGACAGGAAAATACATAGTCCAGCAATCACTGAAGTAGTACGTTACAGTGAGATAGCTTTAACTTAATCAAAATCCATCCAGCTGTAAGAGTTTACAGTCGTACTACTCTTCTTTGCTAAACCATAAGCCATGCTAAACCATGGCAAAAATACTCTATAATGTACCTGACATAACCTAGAGCACTAATTGTGGGCGTCCATGCGCACGCACGTTATCTCCGAGGTGTCTGCAGGGCACTCATCTCCCATCTGCACAACCACCACAGAATCACTTAGGTTGGAAAAGACTGCCATGGTAGGAAACACGTGGGCCACAGCCTTTGCTCCTGACTACGAGCTCCATCAGCTCAGATGTGCATCGGTTTCATTTCCAATCTTATCCCTTTTAAATTCTGACCCTCCAGATGGGCAGTGTGCGCAGTGCTGGAGTACCTCTGCTGCCGCATCAGCCACTGGGCCATTGGCATGAGGGACGCTGGCCAGCCCCGGCTGGTCTCTATACACATCTTTGTTGCTTGTCTTGTCCTGTGGTCTCCCTACAGCTTAAAAAACAAGCCAGATGAGAACGATGCGCTGAGCCTTTCAGCAAGGAAAGCTCCCCAGGGCATTCCAGCGTGATTTACACAATTATTCATAACCATAGAGTGACCAGACAAAAACAGATGCAGCAATACGGAGTAGTGACTCAGCTGGATTTGGATGGGCCACCGTATGTTGAAATCTTTATAACTCCTCATTCTTTACAACCACTTTACTCAGAGCTCACCATCCCACTGAGCCACCTGGTCTTGTTTTTCCAACTTTAACATAAACAGTGAGAGCTGCAACATATTTTTTTATCATTAATCTCCTGTCTCTGAAAAGAAATCAGCATTGTGTTTCTTGGACTGTAGTTTAATAGCTGTTTTCTCCTTTTGGAAACTACACCCATGGTATTGCAAATATCAACTTGAGTAATACCCAAAATTGTGCCCACAAATTCAGATAAAATATCAGCAGTGGGCTACAAACACTGTGCTCCTTTAGGGCAGAAATCATCCCTTTCAACATACTTCAAAAATACATAAAGTAAAGAGAACAGCCAAAGAGATTATTGAAGGGAATAGAAGACTTTTAGAAAAACATTTAATTCCTTCATGAATCTAGGGGAGAAGTCTGATTGATATTTGTAATCTTTTGGTGGACAGAGCTGTCATTTAATTTAGCTTGCATGACTGAAAGAATTTAATAAAAGTGTTCCATAGAGTTTTGCTGAAATTCTTCGCATGTTTTTAGTAAGCCTCTGGAATACGATCAAACCTGAAAAGCTGGAGAGGACTGAGACTGAACTTGCAGCTAAAATAATATTCAGAATTGTAATATACACTTAATAATCAAGTATTCACATCCAGCAGAAAAAGTGCCTTAGCACAGAAACTCCTCCAGATCCCCAGCTGTGTGTCCATGTGCTGCTTGGCATCACAAAGGGGATCCTGGGAACTCAATCCAGCAGTAAGAACCAGCCCCTGACTCTGCTAGAAACCTCTCAAAACACAACCAAATCTACCAACTCATGCCTGCCCACAGAACTTGGGATGCCTTTCTTCAGGAGCCTTGGTAAGAAAGACTTTTGGAGGAGCAAAGGTGTTATTTCCTCTTGCATCACACAAGCTGCCGGCTCCAGCCACGGACTTTTGGATACGCAACACAGATGCTGGTGTACTTAACACAAAATTCCCGAGATTCCCAACAGGTCAGGTTTTTCTATTTTAAATTCCAGCCTGCTGAAAACATTGGTTTTGTGGGAGAAAAAGTAGATCTTATGGACAATCCTGACCTTGAAATCTAAATTACTGAATAATTTATGGATGGCTTTTAAATCAGGGCAGCATCATGGGAAACATGCAGATTTTCACACGATACTGTTCCCTGTTAACAGCTCATTACAACGTACAGAAGTATATTCCCATTATGAAATACAGCTGGGATTGTTTTGCTTACGAAGGTCATTATCTGATCACAAGCAAGAATTGGGGAAAGGAATCCACTTTAAAAGGCTGAAGTTGTGGATTTTTTGAAAACTCATGTGTTTTGAATTTTGTGGCCTGATCTCACACAAGCATGCAACAGGAGAATCGATTCTCTCCACTTCCTTTGCTTATTAGCCCTGGAAATAGAATGGAAAAAAAAAATCTTTTATTAGCAAATACTTTCTTTATTATTTAACCAACCCTCATCATGAGATTCAGTGGTGCCCTCCACCCCACTTTCCTATTTTCCGGCTCCGTTCGGTTTATCCTTTCTGCGGACAGGGCCCTTTGTAGCACAGGAACATGCACCAGCAGAAACTCAATGTAACATCAACAGCATCATTTTCATTTGCTTCTTTCCAAGCTCTAGAGAGCTTTCACCCTCTTGGGCAG